AAAAAAAAGAACATTCTTTGTGTAATGTTAGCGATTGAAAAAAATGAAAGTTTTTATAGTTTTTATTAACTGTATATTAAACAATTGTCAAAATTTATCTGCCCTATTAACCTCTTTGTAGATAAATCACTTTTGAACCTTCTTTCTCTTTTCTATTTAAATTTTTTTTCCCAATTTTTATGTTTTTTAACTAAAACATATATTCAATAAAAAGTTTTTATAGCAGTTCAATAAAAATATTTGGTCAATAAAATATTTGGCCAATTATATTTGGTCAATAAAAAGTTTAAAAATAATTGGTCAATAAAATATTTGGTCAATAAAAAGTCAATTATATTTGGTCAATAAAAAGTCAATTATATTTGGTCAATAAAAAGTCAATTATATTTGGTCAATAAAAAGTCAATTATATTTGGTCAATAAAAAGTCAATTATATTTGATCAATAAAATAATTTTATAGCAGTTCAATAAAAATATTTGGTCAATAAAATATTTGGCCAATTATATTTGGTCAATAAAAAGTTTAAAAATAATTGGTCAATAAAAAGTCAATTATATTTGGTCAATAAAAAGTCAATTATATTTGGTCAATAAAAAGTCAATTATATTTGATCAATAAAAAGTTTTTATAGCAGTTCAATAAAAAGTTTTTATAAATTAATATTAAAATATTAAATAATTATTGTTATTATTAGGCTGTAAAAATAATTATTAGTAATAATCCCTAATTTAAGTTTGTTAAAAATTATATGGATTCGACATAAGAAAAGTTTGTTTTATAAAATTACAAAAACTTGGTTCATTAAAAAAAAATCAATTTTTTTTGCGTAACTTCAGCGCAACTCATACGCAAGCCTAATTTTACGGAAATGCTCCAGAACGTTGGTGAATACCAAATAGTTACAAAAACAATGCTGAATGTACATTTTCCCTTAGTTAAGCTGTGCAAGAGAAAAGTTTGGTGAATACGCACCCCAGATTTGTTTTTAAAGAATTTTTTAAAAGTATAGTTTTTGTATGTGTATAGACCTTTTTGTACTTGTAATTATTCACATTAGTTTATTTCTAATAATAACCTATTTTATGTTTTTTTATTAACTTTTTTAAGTATTTGTTTTAGGTACAATACAGGGCTCACAGTCCTGGTTCCGTCTATCTATATTAACAGACACATTTTGGGCTATTATTAATTTCTTTGTTTTATTGTAAGTTTTTGTTTTTTACTCAACTTTTTAAGTTCTTAATTATTTTATTTTATTTTAATATTTTTTTTTATTTTTAGTTTCCATACAATGTTTTCGGTAAGTCAAGTTTCATTCTTTACTTTTTATATAAAAAGTTTTTATATAAAAACTCTTTTTCACATAATAATGTAAACAATAGTTAAAAAAAAACATTGAAATATTTCTCAACATTGAAAACATTGAAATATTTCTCAACATTGAAAACATTGAAATATTTCTCAACATTGCCACAAAACTGGACTAAATTAAGTTTTTATTTTTAAGAAAATGTTAAGATTTCTCTAGACTTACCAAAGGTTTTAAAAAAATTTTTTATGTAAGGCTAAGTTTAAAGTTCTGCAGCAAATAATAAAAAAAAGTAGGGGAAACTAATGAACATTTTAGTTTGCATGAGAAATAGGAATTATAGCTCTAAAAACCAATAATTTATAAGTCAATAATTTTGAATAAAGTTGTATAAATTATTTCTTGACAAGTCCTTAGAGTAGTATTTTTGAATTGCTTGAACAAAAATTTATTTTGGTTCCAAATTTTAGAAAAAACCTTTTTCAAAATATTATATGGCAAAGTTGCTTTGTTGTCTCAAATGAAAATGCTGAATCAGTATTATTTCAAATGATGACAATCCATGTATATTTTAAGCTAGAATTTTTCTAGTTATTATTTATTTAATATGGACTCTAAATGATACAAAAATTTAGTAATTGAGAGGTAAGGGTGATACGGTCTGATTGATTTTATATGAGTGAAGGTAAATGCTTTGAGTCATGATGAAATTGAAAATGGTTTATTAACTATCAAAAACAAAGTCTTAGTGCAAGATCCAAGTCACAAATTATGGACAAATCACTGAAATCCACAGTATTAGCATTTGGATTAAGAAAAAAACCTTGTCAAAAAAAAAAAAAAAAAGAAAAGAGCAACAACAAAAAAAAACATTTATAACTCATATACAGTGACCATGGTTTAACACTGCTTTCTCAGCTCTTTGGTGACATGTCCATGTTTTTCTAAAAACATTGACTTTTATGACAGTTTAACTTTTTGTATACTGATCATAAGTTAAAATAAAACTTTTTTTAAAATCTGTATGTTTAAAAATGATTTTGTAACATTAAATCTTACAGGAAATAAAAGCATACATGGTAGACAAAAGTTTGGTAAAAATCTGTATTGGCTTTTAGAGAAGATATAAAAAAAACAACACAAAAGTGTTAAATGTTTTCAAGGATAATTAATATATATTCAATTGCTAATCTGGCTTACCCCCTGCAATTAATAAAGAAAAAAAAGCTGTTTTAGCTGAAAATATGACATGTGCTGCTAAAAATTATATATAGTTAATATTAGTTGAACTGAATTAGTCCAATTATTCATTCTGTATATTTAGATATGCAGAAAAGAAAAATACATATTACCACAAATGGAAAGCTTCTGATTTTTTTAACATTAGTCATGCTAAATCTTTAGGATATATGATATCTTCAGGATATATGATATAAGATATATGATATATATATATATATATATATATATATATATATATATATATATATATATATATGTAAATCTTTAGCATATATGATATATTTGTAGCCATTGTAATCGATAGAAGATCAATTTCACTTTATAATGAGTTTCTCAGATATGATGAAACTTATACTGATGATATAAAGTTGTATAGTTCATACTGTGACATGGATTTAGCCCAAGATTTAGTTGTTGTTCTAAATAGACTTGTACTATGAGCAGAAACTTGGCAACTAACAAAAAAAGTAGTGTTTTGCACTTAGAATAGCATCTCCCTCATTATGAAAAGGTATAAAGGGTAACTATAAGTAACAATAGACTGTAGCCTTAATTATAAAAAACATATTTCTAACATCATTCATCAAGCTAACTCTAAAGCATTCTTAGTTTTGGAATGTTTTAAAACTTGCAACCCTTGTATCCTAGTTAGAGCTTTCATTACATATATACAACAAATTTTATAATATTGTTCTTTAGTTTGGTTACCACACCAAATTGGATTGATTAAATCAGTTAAAAGTGTCTTTAATCGATATAGCAGTACTCTCGTTCATATTCTACGTAAACAGTCAGTTGATGCATGTACTATCTAAACTGTCAGTTGATGCATGTACTGAGGTTTTCACAGCTACCTATTCTTGTATGACCTTATATCGCCTAAATAAAAATACAATATTTTAGTTTTTTTTTTTTATTTATTTTTATTGATTTATACTTTTTTTTTTATTGACTGATTTATCTAATGATGATTACAGCATAGTGTACATTAGTCATATATATAAAAATTAGTAGTTTTACCAAATATAAGGGTATTAAGGGTGTAAAAATATTTAAAAGTGTTAGATAAAAAAAGTGTTAGGTAAAAACTGAAAAAAAATATTATTAAGCATTTTTATGGGTTTTCACCAATGTTTTTTTAAAAAGATTTTTTGATGAAATGTTGGACCATGAGAAACAAAATTGAAAAATTCAACAAAAAATAGAGAGAGAAAATAGATTTTAAAAAGTTAGAATTTATAAATTTTTTAGAAATGGAAAAAGAACTTTTTATTTTTACAGCTCAACACCTTTTAAAGTTATAAATGTTTAAATTGTGTTTTTTTATTCATTTTAAACTTTGAACAGGTTGAACTTCTCTTTTAAAGATAATCTTTCAATTCTTGAAACAAACTTTAAAAGAACTTTTTGGCAAATAAGTATATTTCAACAAAAATCAATGTTGGTCGCAACAGGACTCCTGATGCTATTAAAGAGGATATTGAGCTCCTTAGAAACCAGAAGTTAAATTGAAAAATGTCTCTAACTTACCAAAAGAGAATTAAACGTAGAAAAAAATTGTATCAAAAACTTGAAATGTTCACAAAGGTTAAAAATGTGTTTGAAAATGATTCTGTCTTTGATTCTGAAACAGAATATCTATTGTTGTAGTTGATTTTATCTAATGATCTTAAAAACAATATTAAAATGAAAAGGATTTCAATAAACGTGACAGTTTCTGAGGATGGTAATAGATCATGCAAAACAAATTAAAGATGTACTGGAAAACTTTGTTTGGAAAATTGGAAACTGCATCCAACAGTAGTGCGCATAACGGAGGAATTCAACTTATTAGTAGGTATGTAGTTGGAAAGCACATAATATGGCTTTTATGTTGTTGATACATAGAGGGATAATTGTTTCCTTTGTTACAGGCAATGTCCATTGCTGGGCGCTGATAATGTGATTTGCCAATACTGCTTCTTTGGCGTCAGTTAGAAGTGTAGTTGGACCCATTCTTTTTGCAATGGGGCTTTGCCAGAAACTTTGTCTATCAATGTCGTTTAAGGAATGTTCTAGAACTTGGCAGTGTTACTAGTACTTCTCAACCCGCTGAAATATAAAAATTAATGATTGAAAATCTTTTCAACTTTTTATAGGTAGTAAATGTAAAGTTTGACATAGGCCTAGGCAATGGTAATATAAAACAAATAAAGTTACTTTTTAATGTTATGTATAGCATTCTGAATATCTTCTTTGATGTAGTTTTCCCTGGTAGATAAACTTGAAGTTTTCGAATATGCTTTAGGCATTATGCTATTTTATTTAATAGCCTAATTATAGACTAGTATTTGAAAATAAAGAAATTAAGAGGCAATGATCAAAACTATTTAGTACATAAAATTTTAGAAAAAATTAGTGGAGGAATCTAATATATTGGTGGCAGAGACCAATACTCAGAGGCGGCAATCACTAAAAAAAATGATAACATTTAATAGCTTCAGTTTTCAACCAATTTAATCCTAATAACTACAGTCATATAGCAAAAGTTCGTATTTGATAAAAAAGTAGACAAACCAAAATCAAAACAAATATTTTCAGGCTATTGTAAAAAAAATCCTTTTGATGGCGAGGACTAACATGATTTGATAGCGGAAATCACAATTCATGACAGTGACGACTAGAAAAAATTGAAATCCATTTTGTAACATTATCTTTAAAGGAAAATGACCTTAACAAATACTTGCATACAGATCAAAGTTTTTGCTTTCTGTTGATGCATATAAAGTTCAATTTAAAAGAAAAAATTTTGCATGGCAACCACTAGAATGAGTCCATTTTTTGTGCCAGTATTCGGCACCCCACCCCCTCCCCCAAACCTTATTTCACTTTTACGATAAAGAACTATTTAACTTTCTTCTATTCTGCATTCTCATCAACCTGAAATAAAAAATATGCTATATTAATTATATTTAGCATACTTTTTCTGTGGTTTTCTGAAAACTTTTCAAAAAATTTTTCTTAACAATAAAGGAAAAATTATACAAAGTTATACAAAATTTTTAATAAAAAAATCGTGTGCGTATGGTTGTTACGTTACGACTATAGTTTTTTCATCAATTATGAAATTAAGATATATGTTTATTTTGAGCATAAGTTCAGTACTTTTTGTTTATTAAATTTTGCGCTAGAGATTTTTTTTAGCACAAATTGGCGATCACTAGAAAGGGGTGGGGATCACTAGAAAGGGAAAGGGGTTTACTTTATATATATATATATATATATATATATATATATATATATATATATATATATATATATATATGTATATATATATATATATATCAGGCTTGGTCGGGAAGCGGGAGCGATCGCTCTCGATTGCTGACCACGTAAATAATATTTAGTTGCGAAAAGCTGGCCAGATTTTTTAGTTGTTTTGAGAACATTTTTAAAAGCAAACAAAAAAGCGACTAAGATTAATTGGACCGATGAGAGACTATTACAAAAAAAAAAAAGGCAAATAAAATATCTTTAAACGCAAAAAAACTTAAAGCTAAATAAATTGCATTTAGAACAAATATTTTCGAAACATCGCTCTTTTACAATTTTTTTTATAAAATTAAGAGATGTTTTTTATATAAAGTAACAACTTAAGATTGTTTAAAAGGGAAACAAATATTCTTTATTTAACTAAGTTTGCAAGTTTTAGTTTTAATTAAGCTAAATTATTTTATAAATAAAAAAGTTAATTTTTTTAATACCTATTTTATGTTTCGCGTAGTTTGAAAAGTTCAACATATTTGAAGCGATTCTTCTTAGTTAGATAAACAAATGAAATAATTAAATCATTGAGTTACTATAGGAATTAAATTATCAAGATAGAAATCAACTAAAAAGGTTAAAAATACTTAATGACCAGGAAGCGAAACTGCTTCACAATATCGCTGATGATGTTTAGTGAGTGGGCTTTCTAATTTTAATTAGTATTTAAAGCAGAAAAAAGTAAAACGAGTTTTAAGAATGGCAACTTAAGCGAAAATAATTAAAGTTAGTAAACCAATATCTAGAAACTTTTCTTTATATCTAATTATTTGCTATATATATTTGTGTTCTGTTGTGACCTCAGGCGCGATGCTTGTTCATCCGCGAGTTACTTTGTATGCGTTGTTTGTGTTTAGTAACCAGAAACTTCTTATATGTTTGTTACATAATTAGTTTTATTAACTTTAATGACTATAACTTTATTGAAAACGCAATTATTTTTGTAAGTCTTTGTTTAAATCATAAAAATTGCTTTAAAAGATACATTACGATAAAAAACAAATACACAAAATTACATTTACATAAAGAATATAATCTCTTTTAAAATAAAAAATAAGAATATACTAATAAAATCTATGATTTATAATAAACTTTTAAAATTTTAACAATTTAATTAATATATATTTAAAACATTTATTTTCGTAAACAAATAATATATATTCTTAAAACAATGCTAGAAATCTCAAAATGAAACAAATCGTGAATAAAAAACAATTTAACAGAATACTCTAGAACTTTATTTCGCTTAATCAGCGTATTTTTTGAACCAATAGAATTAGTTTGTTCGTTAATTTGGCGGGTTTTTAGTGTTCGCAAATATTCTTTTTATTCTTTCGCACAAGAACATTCAAGTTTTTTTAGGTTTCCATGTATGTCCGTAAAACAAAATTTTTTTGTTTCGTACATAAACTTAATTTACTTAAATGTTTTAAAAACGACTAAAAAACCTGGCCAGTTTTACGCAACTAAATATAATTTCCGTGGTCAGTATTCGAGAGCGATCGCTCCCGCTTCCCGACCAAGCCTGATATATATATATATATATAAAACATGTTATAAAATATGCATAATGTTTTAATTTTAGCCAAATCTTACAAAGAAGGGTAATCAGTATTCTTCTGACTATCGTAGTGGAGGTGGTGGGTAAGTAATTTTAAGTAAACATTTTGCAATTTTTTTTTAATATTTCCTTAATATTCTGACTTTTATTAAAATTGAAATTTAAGGAATACAAACATACAATACAATGAAGAAATAGTTGTAATTCTAATAAGCAATAATTTAAAAGCATATAGTTTAAAATATTATTAATGGTAAATAATAAATCAACAATTGAATAAAGAAAAAAAAGATAAGTAGAAAGTTGTTTATACATTATTTTTATTTATGAAATGTATTCTTAATTTTTTTTTTTTTTTTTTTTTTTTTTCAACATCTTCACTTCCAACAAGGCTGCAAGCAACCACTATAAGAGTTGGAAGTTACTGGAAGAGAAAAGACTAAATCTGTAGAGCAAGATAACGATTGACTGATGACTTAAAAGATTGCAAATTATATGAATCAGGAAAGCAAGATGAAGGAAGCGAATTCCAAAGAACTGATGTTCGAGGAAAAAAACTAGACGAATATGAGTTTTTGGAGCACTTAGGAATAGTAACAGAAAAAGGATGAGACTTAATTGAATGACGAGTAACACGACAATGAATTTTAGTAGATGGCACAAGGGATGCTAGCTCTTTAGAGCAGTGCCCATTATAGTATTTGTAGAAAAGAGAAAGAGAAGCAACATTATGACGATGTGACAAAGGTTGGAGATTGGCTGCCAGAGCAGGTCCAACTATGTTTACAATTCGTTTTTGCACCTTGTCTAAAAGAGAAAGAGCATCATTAGAAGATCCGCCCCAGATGTGGCAACAGTATTCCATACAGGGACGGATTTGAGATTTATAGAGATAGAGAATAGAATCTGGAGTAAGAAAGTGTCGAGCTCGATAAAGAGATGCAACCTTAGCAGATGCTAATTTTGCAATGGATTTGATATACGGTTTAAAAGAAAGATCAGAAGTAAGAGTTAATCCTAGAAGATGAATGGCAGATGACTCATCTAGTACATTACCATTCATAAATATAGGAAGATCTAAATTATTACGATAACGATTGGCCGAATAAAATTGGGTTTTATCTGAATTAAAGTTCACCAGCCACTGTGAGCCCCATGCTGTAGCAGAAGTGAGATCCTTTTCAAGCTCAGATACCCCCTCCAAGCAATCAGAGAGTGTAGGCTTCTTATCATGACAAGAGTAAATGGTAGTGTCGTCAGCGAATAATGCCACCTTAGATGTGAGAATATCTGGAAGATCGTTAATGTAAATTAAAAAGAGTATAGGGCCAAGGATTGAACCTTGAGGAACCCCTGAAGTTACAGGATGTGAAGAAGAGTGTTGTCCATCGAGGACAACTTTTATACTACGATTGGAAAGAAAGGACTCAATAATCTTAAAGACGTTACCAGCTACACAATAAGAAGAAAGCTTATGGAGAAGACCAGCATGCCAAACTTTATCAAAAGCTTTAGAAATGTCAAGTGCGATAGCCTTAGCCTCTCCACCTCTATCTAATGCACGGTAAAACCTATCGGTTATTACTGTTAGCACATCAGCTGTAGAACGAGAAGACCGAAATCCTTATTGATGATCAGAAAGTAAGTTATTTGATTCAAGATGAGAGATTAAGTGTTTGTTGATTAAAGATTCAAAAACCTTGCTTATGACAGGAAGAAGACTAATGGGACGGTAGTTAGATGAATCAGATCGCTCTCCGGAATTTTTGAAAATAGGGATAACAGATGCTGCTTTCCAGCATGATGGAAAACAAGACTCTGATAAGCACTTGTTAAATAGTTTAGAAAGTATGGATGAAAGCTCCGGAGAACACCTCTGCAAGACTACAACAGGAATGTTGTCAGGACCACAAGCTGTTGAAGAGTCTAAGCAGGAAATTACTTTAGATACAGAAGCTGAAGTGATGCAAATGTCAAGCAAGGGATCAACCTGTTTGACGGCTATGTCAGGTAAAACGCAACTAGTGGAATCAAGAGATGATATTGATGAAAAGCTCTTAGTAAACAATTCAGCTTTGTCTTTAGGTGAGGTGACAAAGTCTGAACCATACAAGAGAGAAGGAATAACAGATTTGCCCTTATTATTGATACTGTTAAAGATTCTCCAGAAGTCTCGAGAGCCTAATTTTTGTGATGAGATACGAGATTTAATGACCTGGGAATAGCGAGCTTTGGCGTCAGACAAAACCTTTTTACAATGGTTTCTGGCGATAGTGAACAGATGTCTGTTTTCTGGAGAATTGTTTTGCTGATAGATATGGAAGTAACGGTTTCGATTAGAAATTGCTGCAGCGCAATGTGAGGAAAACCAAGGAGAAGAGTGAGGCTTGACCTGGAATCGTCGAGAGGCAATAAAAGATTCCATGCCAGCCTGAATCCACGAAGTTATGTAAGAAGCACATTTGTCAGCAGGAAGACGGAAGATTTCTACCCAAGGGCCATCACGAAGAAAATCACGGAAAGAGTCCCAGTCAGCTTTAAGGTAGTTGTATGTGGTACGATGATAGGGAGATTCTGATGAAGTAGAAGAATTTGATAATAGTTTTAGAGAGATCAAACCGTGATCAGAAGTACCTAAGGGTGAATGTGGAGAAATTGAGCACTGACTAGGATCCAAAACAAGACATAAGTCGAGTAGAGAAGGTAAATGATTAGGGTTGTCTGGAAAACGAGTTGGAAAGTTGACTATTTGAGTTAGAGATTGAGAAAGGCAAAAGTTGAGGGCCTTAACGCCAGCAGAGTCACTGACACTAGAGCCAAGCCAATCGGTGTGATGGGCATTAAAGTTACCAACAACGACGATATTGGCCGATGGATAAATTTTTTAAAAAAAAATTAATTTCAAAATTTATTATTTAATAAATGAAAGCAGCTAAATAAAACCAAATGACTAATTACATTAAAAACACTTATGAAACCTCTCAATAAAAGTGGTTTTCTAAAATAATTTCTACTGATCTTCTTTTATTTTCACTTTGAATATAAGGGAAATAATGCTGATAGGTATAATTAGAAAATGTTATAAGTGGAATTCAATTTGATCATTTGCAAAACCTTATATGCTTATTATGTAGCATTAAATTTAATTTAAACCATTGTAAAAAGGTTTTGTCTAATGCCGAAGCGGGATATTCTAAAGTCACATAGTATTGTATTTCATCTCAAAAATTAAGCGATCTCTCAGAAATTCTCACATCTAAGGTGGCATTGTTTGCTGGTAATACTACTATATATTCCTATCTTGATAAATAGTCAACACTCTCTGATTGCTTGGAGGGCCCATTTAAACTTAAAAATAATCTTACTTCTGCTACAGCAAAAAATATTTTATAAATGCTCTCAGTGACTGGTGAATTTTAACTCAGATTTAAACTCTAGATTGTTGCAATAATGATTAGCAAAAAGAATTTTTGCTGCTAATTGTTATCGCAACAATCTAGATCTTCCTATATTTATGAACAGTACTCGATGAGTCATCTACTCTTTGTCTTCAGAAGAGTAGATCAAGATTTAATTCTTGATGACTGATCAAGAATTAAATCTTACTTCTTTTAATCTTTCTAGGAACTCATCAAATCCATTGCAAAATAACTTACTATTTTCTTACTCAGGATTCTATTTTTTATCTCTATAAATCTCAAATCTATCTTTGTATAGAATAAAGTTGCCATATCTTAAGGGGATTTTTGAATGATGCCCTTTCTCTTTTAGGTATGTGCAATTTGTGCTAAAACACATTGTCAACATAGTTGGACCTGCATTTGCAGCCAACCTTCTAAAATCGTTGCTATGTTGCTTCTTTTTGTCTTTTCTATAAATACTATAAAGAGTGCTGCTCTAAAGAGCTAGCATCTCTTGCACCATCTACTAAAATTCATTCTTATGTTCTCTCATTATTCAACTAAGTCTCATCCCTTTAATGTGACTGTTCCTAGGTGCTCCAAAAGTTTTTCTAGTTTTTTTCCTCAAACATCAGCTTTTTGGAAAAAATTTGTAATCTTTCAAGTTGTTTGTTAAAATGCTTTGTAAACTTCATCTTTTCTCTTCCGGTACATTTTTTTATTAATTTTTTTTTATTGAGATATAGAGCAAGGAAATGGTTGACAGAAGACTTGAAATGTTGAAAGTTGTATGAGTCAAGAAAATATGAAGAAGGAAGAGAGTTTCAAAGAGTTAAAGTGTGGGAAAAAAACTAGACAAACAAAAATTTTAGAGCATGTCGGGACAGATACAGTAAATAAATGAGACTTTGCTATATAAGGAGTCAAATGAGAATGAGTTTTAGTTGATGTAATAGCTCTTTTTTAGTTGATATAATAGCTAATTAGTTGATGCAATAGCTCTGTTGTAGTAGATATAATAGCTTATTTGAGCAATATCCAAATAAAGCAATATCCAAAAAAACTAGACAAACAAAAATTTTAGAGCATGTCGGGACAGATACAGTAAATAAATGAGACTTTGCTATATAAGGAGTCAAATGAGAATGAGTTTTAGTTGATGTAATAGCTCTTTTTTAGTTGATATAATAGCTAATTAGTTGATGCAATAGCTCTGTTGTAGTAGATATAATAGCTTATTTGAGCAATATCCATAATAGTGTTTGTAGAAAAGAGAGAGAGAGAGATGCAACTTTATGACAATGGAAAAGACGCTCAAGCTCAAGCTTAGCATATAGAGCAGGTCCAACTATGTTTACTATGTGTTTTTGGACCTTGTTTTTGGAGAAGAGAAAGAGCATTATTAGAAGAGTAAGCCCAAATATGACAACAGCATTCCATACAGGGACAAATAAGATATTTTTAGAAGTAGAGAATAGAATCAGAAGAGAGAAAATGGAGAGCATTATAAAGAGAAGCAACCTTAGCAGGTGCTAATTTAGCAATTGATTGTATATATGGTTTGGAATTGATTGTATTTATGGTTTGGAACTCTCTCCCATCTTCATGTTTTCCTGACTCATACAACCTTCAACTTTTCAAGTCTTCTGTCAACCGTTTCCTTGCTCTATAGCTCTGTTTTT